AAAACATTTCAAAAATTCTATCTAAATCATAGTTTCATCATTTACACATCATGTTTTCTTATAACATAAGAGTCTCATAAGTTATATTTCATAAAATCTGTTAGCAATTTCAGAAATAAAAGCATAAAAACTCAAGAGAGTAACTTCTCATATTCATTCTAAATTCTAACAAAAGTTCAAACAGAGAAAACGTATAAGTCAAAAAGATTCAAAAATCGAAAAGTTTTGAATTAAAAAGAGTAGAGAAGAGTTGTTAAAATACTCAGAAATTTAGATAATACCAATTATTTTGAGTTTGATATTTTCTATAAGTATCGAACTTATCTTTGGTATTTACAATTTAAGAAGAAAAATATAAAAAAAACAAACGAAATTGGATTTGTTATTGAAAATAACAAACAATCATTGTAGATTTTGCTTTCAAACTCTTAATTTGAATCAGGAAAAATTAAATCAATAACTTAACATGATGAGTTTCGAGTTTTGGTTGAATGTAGCTCGATTCTATGTTAATTATGTCTTTAAATTTGTGATTATATCGTGATTCTTCAATTTTTTTTCGTGAGTAGTTTTTGAGTTTACTTGGAACAAACACAATAATAATAAAATTAGGGTTTCATTAGAAATTTAGTACTTTGAAATCTTTTATTTCAAACAAAAGGTTCACAAGTCATATTTTCATTTAGTGTTTGGCGGATTATCTGTAAATCTGTAACGGATAAATCTGCTTAGCTCGTAAGCCGTAACAACGGGTTAGTCCGCGAGGCCCGTTTCTATTCAGAGTTAGAAAATTATGTCTAAACTTGTCCCGTGATGGGCCTGGTCTGTGGATCGTGAAGCCGATTGACTGCTCTAGAATTAATGGAGTAATATTCATAAAGACATATAAAAATAAAAGAAAATTTTCAAAAATGCTACTTTTCAAGTGCCACTTTACAAAAATGCCACACTTTTGAAATCTTTACAAAAATACAATTTAAAAAAAAAAAAAATTTATATTATTTATCTTTGTGTTAATTATGTTTTATTAGGGTTTAGTTTTGAGTGTTTAGGGGGTTTTAGGTGTCAAAACATTTTTTAGGATTTAGAATTTTAAGATATATGGTTTATAAATCTATAGTTAATAGCATTTTTGTAAATGGACATCCCTAAATGGTATTTTTGTAAATGTACAAATAAAAAGTGGTATTTTTGTAATTATTTC